TGATCGTTCATTGCAAGAAAACAGAAAACAGCAGAAAACTCTTATTAGGCTCATTGGAAAGGTTACAATTTTGTATTTAATTTACGTATTTGATATTGTAATTAGTGTACGTGATTATTGAGCAATTAAATAAAACAACGCGAAGAAACAAAATTTGTTTATCAAATAAATTTTGATTATTTATTGGAAAAGTTAGAATTGTGGCTTCAACTGACAATCAATGGAATCGTAAAATGTATAATATTGAGTTGTTTCTACAATAACAGGTTAAATTTTTGCAAAAAATTGTAATTGATACGTATTTTGTTGTTTATTTATAAACATTTCGATGGGCGTGAAGGATATAATGATAACAGTTGTTGAGATCGTGGGAGGCCGATGGAAAACAAGTGCACGTGGCTACGGCCACCAGTGGCGTAGAGGTCATCTTTACAGCTAGAACAAATATTATCGTTCGAGCGAGAATTCTTCGCGTCTCGGAGGACCACTAAAATGGATTTGTCTCTGTGTATGCGCAAGAGTAAATATGATGTACCCTAGATGGAGCTGAAGGAGAGAGAGAGATAGGTTGAAGACCCTTCAAATGTTTAATGTTAATTACACGCGTCGCTTGCTTTAAACGGCGAGTTGGGAAAGGAGAGAAAGAGAAAAGAACACACATACACGTGAGATGGAAAAAAAGGGAAGTTAATAAATAACGGGCTATCTCGTTACGTTAATTTGTAACAAAGGTATTCGCCACTTCTTTATATTCGTGTTGTACGAAAAAGGGAGGAAGGAGGATCGTTATCGCGCGAAACCTGGGGGGCCAATTTATCTCCTTTTCCTTTCCCTTAAGCGCGCGCGAGAGCGAGATAGAGAGCGAACGGAAAAGGGCCGAAATCAGCAACGTTACCTTTTCTCCATCGGAAAAGGAAGAGAAAAGAGGATTAGCGTTTGTGTTAATGCTTCTGGTTCATCGCTCCAGAAGGCCTCCTTCTATAACCTACTCCTCCCACATCACTCTCCTCTCTCCATCAACATTCGGGATCATACATTATGCAGATCGCAGTAGGCTCGACCTCTTGCCGCTTCGACTCTTGCGGCGGCGGCGGCTGTCATCAATTAATAAAACCCGTATCAAGAGATCTTAATATTTGATCGTCTCCTCCATTACCTGCAGCGAAACACCAAAACCCCTTTCACAAAATATTCTCGGGTTATACAACGTTTACGTGACGATACGACAAATTGGCATAATTCTCGCCGGCTATCTCTTCTAATCTGGTTTACGTTGCGTTACGTTATTCCTTCCATTCCTTGCGAAAGCTGTTTCGGCTGGATTTGGGTCTCGCATTTAGGGAGCAGCAGCTCTGCCAGGTCCTTTCCCGAGGCTTCCCCGCTATTTATCTTTCGCAAGTGGTCTCGGATATACTCGAAACATACAACGCAGAAAGACCACCCAACCCCCACAAACCCACTCTGGAAACATATATTAGTTAGGTTTACACTAGCAACATAAGGCATGCTGCTGCGACCATCGTGTCCCTCCTGCAGCCATATGGGCCACCCCTAATAAGATAATACTTGTTATGTACTACTACTACTACAACAACAATACTCCCTTCATCTCTCTCGCGTACACCAATTTCCCTATGACCACGGAACGCATCCATCTCTCGCTATTAACCATTCTCCCCTGTTCCAACACACACAACAAATACCCTAATATTATTCCGATATTACCCTCGATATCCCTCAGCTTAATGCCCCGAAAATGGACCGCCGACGACCATCCTGCAACGAACGCAAACACACGCAAAAATTAATTTATTTACATTTTTTTCAATTAAGCAACCCCCCTTTCAACGTACCCCACTGTTTTTTCAATTCATACCAACAATAAACAAACAAAATTATTTACTCAATTCTTAACTAATTCATTAAATTATCTATAATAGTTTTTTTGAGATACACACTAAATTGACAAGATAATAACTCAACACCTATCAATGTTACCAACATAACTTAACGCGTCACTTATTCCAAATTCTCTTAGCTTCACATAACATCTTCAATCTTTATTATATCTTCAATAGTTTTCGAGATATTAAATAAAATGTGTTTTAGCTACTTTTTTTTTGTAAATAATTAATCTAATAACTTTTTCTACATTACTTCCATCAGTATTTCTATCTTTATATCCTTTATAGTTTTCGAGAAATTAAATACAATGTGAAGACGTAAATTCCAATTTGAGATGCACACTAAATTGACAAGCTAATAACTAAACACCTATCAATGTAACCAACATAACTTAACGCGTCACTTATTCCAAATTCTCTTAGCTTCACATAACATCTTCAATGTTTATTCTATCTTCAATAGTTTTCGAGAAATTAAATTAAATTTTGGTAAATAATTAATCATATTTGATTGGTAATAACTTTTTCTACATTACTTCCATCAAAATAAGTTGACACAAATTACATTCCATATTATCATAGCTTCACGAAACATCTTCAATATTCTTTCTATCCTTTATAGTTTTCGAGAAATTAAATACAATGTGAAGACGTAAATTCCAATTTGAGATACACACTAAATTGACAAGCTAATAACTAAACACCTATCAATGTTACCAACATAACTTAACGCGTCACTTATTTCAAATTCTCTTAGCTTCACATAACATCTTCAATCTTTATTCTATCTTGTATAGTTTATGAGAAATTAATTGAAATGTGTCTTAGCATATTTTTGGTAAATAATTAATCATATTTGATTGCTAATAACTTTTTCTACCTTACATCCATCAAAATAAGTTAACACAAATTACATTCCATATAATCGTAGCTTCACGAAACATCTTCAATCTTCACACTATCCTTTATAGTTTTCGAGAAATTAAATTAAATCTTTGGTAATTAGTAAATTAATATATTTGATTGCTAATAACTTTTTCTACATTACTTCCATCAAAATAAGTTAACACAAATTACATTCCATATTATCATAGCTTCATCAAACATCTTCAATATTTCTATCCTTTCTATCCTTTATAGTTCTCGAGAAATTAAATACAATGTGAAGACGTAAATTCCAATTCATTCATTCATTCATTCAAATAAGAAATTCGGGCGAGAGAAAAAAAAGTACGCACGTCAATTAATCATATTTGATTGCTAATAACTTTTTCTACATTACTTCCATCAAAATAAGTTGACACAAATTACATTCCATATAATCATAGCTTCATGAAACATCTTCAATATTCATTTTATCTTTCATAGTTCTCGAGAAATTAAATACAACGTGAAGACGCAAATTCCAATTCATTCTTGATTCATTCATTCAAATAAGAAATTCGGACGAGAGAAAAAAAAAGTACGCACGTCTACTACGAATTCCGAAGCGATATAAAAAAAGAACAATAGGAAACGGAATGCGAATAAATTATAATTCATCAATGGGAAACGCACAAACACAAACAAAAACAAATGCAGACGTCGCCTACTGCACGAGTTTATATCTCGACCCGCCTACTCTTTTTTATTGTTGTTTAGCAGACGCAGACGGTTTGACCTACATATTAAAATTCAAATGTTTTTACTACGCATTCCAATCTCATTCAATTGATTCGCGTTTAACAAAAAGTATAACTTTAACTTGTTTTTTTTATATAAGTGTTCTTAATAATTAGTATACTATATTGAAAATCAAGGTTTTCGTAAAAATCGATGCAAATTGTTAAAAATCTCGAAGATAAGAGTGGAAAAAGTGAAATAGATTCGAGTTGGCCGGATGTGAGTGGATCGATGCATTTGTTTTTATGCGTCTTTCTTTCTCTCGCTCCCTTTATTATCATTATGTTTCTCTCATTCTCTATATAAGATATATATGTATATAAAAGAGCCATCAATGTTTTTCCCGATGCGAAGACGTGGAATTCCATTAAGTGCAATGAATTAATTTGATTCCACAGAGGGGTGACTTTCACTCTCTCACTCACTCTCTCTTTCTCTCTTCCACTCTCCCTACTTTCCTGGCAGGAAATCAAGTATCAAGGTGGCCGGGATTTGTCCGTGTAATCCTGCGGATGAGGCAGGGCTTCACGATTCATTTTAAATCTGTTAAAACATCACCCGAAAAGGGGGACGAAGGAGGAAAAGATGGAGAGAGAGAGGCGTATCACGAAGATTAAGCCATTAGTTACACAACGCTTAAACATGTTTACATTATAAAAAAAAAACAAAATTAAAAACTATTCACACTCTTGATTGATGTAATGATTAATTTAACAGTAATTCACATTTTATTTAATTACTCGATAACCACGCACACGAATTGCAACATTGAAGAAGCAAATTAAAGCTAAAACTATGATCAATCTAAAGAACTCGTTGTCAATGTTGTAACTTGTACCGTTTTCCTTTAGTAGGATGTCAAAGTATAGTATTTATTTGTTATTTTGTAATGAATGTTTCGGATGAAAGCGAAAGTTGCGAATGGAATTAAGGCAGTTTGTAGTAGTTTAGTGAATCAGCGGAGGAACACGGGTTTAGTGGGGCGGTCCAATTAGGGCGACATAATCAAGCGCACGGAGACGGCTCGCGATCAATCAAAAAGGGCCCGATGGGATCGTGTCAAATTAGTCGACAGATGTCGCTCACTCCGGAACATCGCCGTCCGCGATTCAACCTGTTAAAGAAAAGACAAACCCCATTCCCGCTCGTAGTTTTCCTTCCCCATTTTGTATATCGACTCCCTTCTTCCTTTCCTTCCTCAACTACTCCCCACCCGCGCGCGCGAAGAATACGAGGTCAGATTGTAAATAATGGATCCCTTTCTTTCCATTGTCAAGGTGGGAATTGGATTTCGCACCCCCCTACAAAACGGATCGAACTCGCTTTTTTCTCTCTCTCACTCTCTCTCAATCAATTCATCGATGAAAATAGACCATCTCTTTCACGACTATAATTTATTTATCTAACTATTTCCATCTTTTTTGTTTGTTACAGATTTTTCCTCAAGTTCTTCCTGAAGTGCAACCAGAACTGCCTGAAAAACGCGGGGAATCCGCGCGACATGCGCCGTTTTCAGGTGAGACACAATTTCGGATATATAAATGTAAAAAAGAAACGAAACACAAGAGGAAGGGCGGAAACGACGAGCAATTAGCTGTTACTGCACCCTCTCTCTTTATACATTCCCTTCGCGTTCTCGTTTTCCCCACCGAACTGATTAAAAAACGCAGAGGCGGAAACGGAAACTGTTCCGGAACATTAGTCGCTTCTCTCTATATATTTCTTAATCTTTTTTTTTGTGCGAAACTTAATGCAATTACAACAAATTCATCATTCAATTATTGCACGCAAATCAAACATTCTTTTGTTATCGTTGCTATGGTTTTTCTTTGTTTATTATTTAACAACTCGATGGAGAATCCTCAAGGGATGCTTTTGTTTCAAAGGCTCCCAAGTGAATCTCGTTAAAAGTATTACCCAACAAAATTTATTTATTTTTGTTTCTTCTCTTGTTTACTTCCTACATCCAAAAAAAACTTTCTTAACACCGATTAAACACCTCTCGAAAGTTCAGTTATGCATTATTAACCACTTGACATACAATTAACGAAAAATTACTTTGATTGAAGAATTCTTAGAGACTATTTTTAATAGTTTCTTGTACTATTTGACTCTAATCTCCTCAATTTTTCTTGTAGCAAATCACTTTACATAATTTCTGAAAAATTTGATTCGTCACTTCTGGTTTTACTCATTTACAAACATTTTTTGAAATATTCTCAAAATCGAAGCATTGATTACTAAGATTTACAGTAAATTAACATATCTTTATTCTAATTCAAATCTGCTGCAATTTCTATCGATTTTCATTCATTACTGCTGTATTTTAACATATAATCTTCTCGAAAGTTTAAGAAACTTTAAGGAACTTTAGCAAATTACTTTACATAATTTCTGAAAAATTTGGTTTCACTCATTTACAAACATTTTTTAGAAATATAACTTCAAAACTTTTGCACCGAAATTATCTCTAATATTCTCAAAATCGAAACATTGATTACTAGGATTTACAGTAAATTAACATATCTTTATTCTAATTCAAATCTGCTACAATTTCTAACGATTTTCATTCATTACTGCTGTATTTTAACATATAATCTTCTCGAAAGTTTAAGAAACTTTAAGGAACTTTAGCAAATTATTTTACATAATTTCTGAAAAATTAGGTTTCACTAATTTACAAACATTTTTTAGAAATATAACTTCAAAATTTTAGCACAGAAATTGTCTCTAATATTCTCAAAATCGAAGCATTGATTACTAGGATTTACAGTAAATTAACTTTATCTTTATTC